ACTTCTTTGTATCGTCTACATTTATGAGAAAAATTTGTAATCCTGCTTGTTTTTAATTGTTTAAAACTATCTTCATTATTAAATGCATAATTCTTAGTAAATGTAGATTAGATGCAATTAGATACATCATTATATAGTTTTTGTACAAAAAGGGCATAATATGGATATTAAATAATTTCACATATTATAATATTCGTGTATAGATCCTCAAATTTTACTTACATCGATGTCCGTTCCAAACACTCGTTTAAATCTGGGTCTGTCGTCCATGCTGGTCATTGTTTCTTTGACTCGGATAGTGTTAAGGACCTCAGATAAGGGATCCCGATCCCGATCCATAATTATCGAACTGACCGCCGTCCACCAGTATCCTAAAATCAAAATATTGTCCCGGAGTATCGATCTACCAATTCACGGATTCCGAATAATTCACCATTTTATGGCACTATCTTCCACTGATATTGTTTAATGTTTTATTCAATTTTCGCAGTAGCATTCTTTATTCATTTGTGACGGTTTACGACCGTGGTGTCGGCGCAATGAGAGCGAGTGACAGTGTGTAACGATCGCTCGCTGAGTAGGTATCAAATACACAAGAGGCCGTACAATTCCACACCAGTAAATACATATATTTTTTGTCAAACCCTAAATCAATAACCTATTTTAAAAGATTTAACACACATAGATTGGAATTATATTGCCTCTAACATCCGGCCCTATATGTACACTTTTCTCGACTGATGCTTTTTGAATGATCAAAACCCTAAAGCAATTATCTCTTTACTCACAACTTCGTTAATTATTAAATAATGTTCTAAAGTAAAATAGAAGTCAAAGGCAGATTTATAATCTATGCATCCTGTGGCATCCCAAACGGTTTTGTCACACAAGATAATACAAACTGTGGTCTGAATCCAGGTGACAGTGTAAATAACATTTTAATGTTACCACGTTAACAATTTCTAAACAAAACACTCTTTTTCGATTATGTTCGTCCGTAAAAGAATCAGGTGACAAAACAATGGTCTGGTGCACCATTTTTCTTTAGCTTTCAAAGAAGAAAATGGAAAATGAAACCTGATGAATAGTGTCGATAGTTCGTATGTATATATTATAGTGTTTGTAACATCCGGAACAAGTAAAATGACAACAGGAAAAAAATCCTCTATCTTCCAAGTGTTTTAATTATTATTTTCCAAAAGCTTTCGGTGTTTGTTAAAATACATATCCAACTTACTTTTGATACCCTTAGTGTTGAATTATATGAAAAATTGACGTCTTTGCAAAGGGTTTTCTGCAGACATATGCATCGCGGTGATTCAGATATGTTGCATTGTGAAAGCGTTTCCACTGTTTCAAATACTATACCGAAAACAAACTGACGGCAAAAAGTCAAAACTTCACATAACTCAAACACTCATAAGTAAGTCTCTTCCTATACTAGGTGTCAATCTATGTCTACTTTGAATTTATCATTTATCGGTTCTTAAATTATTAAAGGGTAATGGAAATGGGTAGCAATTCTTTTATATGTTTTAGAGTTTGGCGAAATAAAACCAACAAAAAAAACCGCATCGAAATCGATGCAAGTTTAACGGAGTTATTGCCCGTTGAAAGCGTCTATTTTTACCTGTTATGAAAATCCAATCAAGCAAAAATAGAATCGATCGAAAACGAGGCTATATCGCCGTGACGTCACTACATTGACAGATTAGGCGGATTAGTATGGATTACAACGAGATTAGTTCCGACAACAACGACGATATCAGCCTTGATATGTCAGATGGATCTTCAGTTTTTGATGAACCAGATGGATTGGGTGTCGAACTTGGTACAAGACCTTACCAGTTTGAACCAGAAGCCGATTCTGACGAGGAATTGGTAGATGAAAACAACACACAGCCCAGCGAGGACGAGCGCTTGGGGAATACTGACTGGTTAGAAAATGGCATTTTTTCCAGTTAGATTGCTTAATGTGACATATGTAGTCCAATATTTAGACTTAATAACCATATAAAGCAACATAAATTGCGTAATTTACTTAGGGTATGGCTGAACTATGAACATTTTCTGCTGAAAGGTGATTGCCTTCAAGGCATCGTACTTTTACCTTCTTGTTTGATTACTGGCAAATCTGTTACCAAAAAATCACATTCACTATAGGATCATGATAACCCTCCTATAAATTATGTTGGCTAAATTTTAGCTAAATGTTTCGTTATTATTTTTAGGCTTTTTAATATTGGACTTATGTATAATATTGTTTGAATACACTGTGCCTATACTGTGGTTTCCTTAGTTACATTACAAAACCAGTATCAACCATATTTTTATGCCGTTTTGAAAATAGCATGAAGTAACTAGAAATATTCTGCATTTAGTTTCTAACAAATACAATTTTTGGTTTATGAGTTGGTTGCTTGGGAACGAAATTTCAGTACAGAAAACTGCACTCCACAGTAAATGGGGCTTGGGGAGGGAGATGTACTTGTGTTATGACGTATTCATCATCTGAAAACAGTAATATCACAGATTTTTTCTATTAAACTTTTAATTCCTATACTGTATTAAAAATAGCTTTAATTTGTCAACAGGTGCACTTGTGAGCAGTGTGTTGCGATGCCTAATGCAGAAGAGTGTGTATGCTGCCAGGAGATACCAGAAATCAGATGCGTGACAGAAGAAGACCATCGACACTGCATTACACAGCACAATGGGTTCTCCCCAGTATGTCTTCACCCTTCTGTTTTGAGGACGGCATACCATTCGTATAGACAGCAGTATGCAGAACTTCCGGAAACTAATGGGTAATAATTCTGATTCAATTCAATGAAACAAATGTTAAAATGAAATCAGAATCAGTTTATTTCGCTCAAACCATACAATATGGTACATGAGGAACATAAACTATAAACTTTAAATGAAACATAAATAAGACTAATTGGCTGTTCATTGTTTATTGAACATAGAGACTCACTTTAGAACAAATTGCACAGTGAACTTATCAAATTGTTTGATAATCCACAATGTCTCAAATTTATACAAACAGAAAATGAAACCAAAAATATTACAAACTCAACAAAATGAAAACATTAACACAACAATAGGAAAAAAAGGTCAAACTTGAACAATTTTATCACTACAATTATATTGTAAACAAAAAAAAAAAAAAACAATGAAAACTGAATAGTTATAGTGTCAATGATAAAAAGGCTAACAAAAAATAAATTAATAACTCATCAAGTATGCAAGAATACAGGATAACAATAAAAAAAATGTATATTTTATAATATAGAATAGAAAACAAAAAACAATTTTCTTAAACAAAATCAGTGTACGTATACAAAACAGAGAGAGCTAACAACAAAATATCTATGTATATATTTATTAATATATAAAAACAGTAACAAGTATTCATAACAAGTACAAATTATCTTTATGTTGTAGGCGCATGAGATATATCGGATATCGGCAGCTGGTTCGATGGTGCTGGGGATGGCTTGGAAAGGAAGTGAGGGTAACTCTCCCAGCTTGTGCAGTCCATAAGATCCGCACCACTTATCCTGAGGAAGATGGACACTATACCGGGTTTAGTTGCGCCGGAAGCGAGTGACGTGATGATCGATGGCCTCATCTTCCTCCGGATGAAGGAAATCCGCACACAGTGGAGGTGGATCATCTGGCATTTCGTCAGGCTCACAGCGTGGCATTGGAGTGTCCCTGACTCGGGAGGTAGCCTCAACCATGAGTGACTCAACGTATCCTGTTATAAGAGCATAAAATGACTCAATGAACTACATGTATATCTTTCTAGCTATTATTGAAATGTGCTTTAAGTATATGAATTTACAAGTAAACTGATTAAACTTACCATATGTGTTATTTGTTTTGATTTTCTTCACTGTGTAGTCGCCCTTCTTTTGTTTTGGGAAAGTGATGCTGTACCTGGGTTTACCATCCTTTGTAGTAGCCTGCAGATTCTGTCCATTTTCATTGAAATGCATTGCAGCAATGAGCAATCTACAAGAAACAAGTAAATTCTCAGCAATGCATATTTTGTTTACAAAGTATTAAAAAAAATAGTTCCTAAGAATTACCTATCCCATTCACACTTTACCCGCAATTATTATCAAAATATGGCACAAATGATAGCAAAATAATAAAACGCAAACTATCATTGAGAATAACATTACACTTCACAGTAGAAACTGAAACCAAGACAACTAGTTTCATTAGTCCGACAACATAGAGAGATAGCTGTTCAATAAAAATACATGTATATCATCAAATTTTTCCTTACCGACTCTGCATCCCATGATAGGAAAACTTGTTCATCTTTGGGGCATAATGGTTAATCACTGAATGGTAGGCCTCTAGACTGGATGTCTGAACATCAGGTGAAAGCATTGGAATATCTTTCTTCATCTGCCTTGAGGTGATGATGGCTTCCAGCTTCTCCACTACTTTGGTACCTATGAAAGGAGAAAAATTCACTCTTAACAAAATTCAATCTAAATAAATATAATCAAAGATAAATGTATAAAATACAATTCTTCAACAAATTCATCAACAATACTGCAATAAGGTTCTAAAGGAATTGAAAAATCTTTACAAGGTCTCAGCCATCTTTTCCGTCGTGCAGCTTCGTCTAATTCTGCATGCTCGCATCTCTCAAAGAGATCACCATGTCCCTCGTGGATGTTCTGGATGTGGTTGAAGACGCTGACCCATTTCTCCCACCTCAATGCATTGCTGCCTTCTGGTGTGGAAGTGGGGACCCAGTACAGGTGGTTAACAATGCTCTTGATCCACTCCATCAACCTCTCACAGTCTTTTTCCTTGCCGAGGGCTGTCAGCTTCTTCTTCAGACCTAAAATGTACATAGAAGTTTACAAAATCTGACAATTATATACATAGAAGTTTACAAAATCTGACACTTATGTACATAGAAGTTTACAAAATCTGACAATTATGTACATAGAAGTTTACAAAATCTGACACTTGTCCTTCCTTTTTGAGACAATTTTAATACAAATGATAGAGTTTTATAATAAATTAGCGTCTTTCTTTACTTTATAAAATTTTAGCATTCAACTTTATTGTAAAAACAAGAAAGCAATGTCACAAACCTTTTGCAACATGCCAAACATCCACATAGTGTGTAGTGTCTGGCATATTCTCCCGAACCCATTTCGCCACCTGAAGATGTCGGTCTGTTATGAGCTGGCAGACTTCAATGTTGTTCTGTTGTAGGAATTGGACAACTCCTATCAGCCCTTCCTTCTCCATACGACAGCTTCCCCCGACCTCATTGCTCTAATAAGTAAAAAAAGTTACATTAGTTTACCTTAAAAGGTCAAATACTATTGAACATGATTTTTTTTTATATATATATATTTTTTTTAAACTTATCACTTAGATAAGAATTATTGCATTTCTGTAAACAGTTATTTTTAGAATAAGTCGTTTCATGTATCATATGGTAAATACCTGTACAAGTTGGACATCAATGACGATGTTTTTGTCCAAATCCATATCCAAAACTGATCAAAATTCGGAACTGGCCAAACGATTCTCATGTAAATTAAAGCAATATGACCTGCAACTTTGATGCATTTTTTTGTTTCAAAATTGTCATTAATTATTTCAAGGACTGAGAAAAAGAACACATAAGCTTCTGTTGTTCATATTTATATATAAACGAAGAACAACATACTAGCTCTTAATGATGTAAACCTGCATTATTGTCGTCCTGTACATGCAATGTGTTTTTCTTAAATAATAAAAAAATAGGACACCTGGTTGGCCGTGGTGGAAGCAGTGGAGAATATTTCGCAGCTCATTAAAGTATTGACCAATGCGAGTAAACATAGTCAATAAATTAACCTTGACGCGACCTTTCAATACCCAATCACAGTTTACAAAATAGTGATGTCAGTTTTTGATTTGAATTGCGATGGCAACCAATATTGTCATTGGCTAAACAAGACATTACAACATACAGGTGTACATATTTATTTACCAAAATTTTTGTGATTAAGAAGCCACGGGTAGGAGAGAGCCCTTACGTTAATGCTGTCTCCTAACCGTGGTTTTAGATGTTGGAAGACAGATAGCAGTAATTAATATCCCACTTTCACTCCTTTATAACCACTCGTAACAAACAAGTGATAAATTAAAGGCTTTATGGAGGATAATATTCTTTGTTAGCATTTACCATTCGTTTAGTAAATACAAATATATCCTGTCACACGTCGATATAAAATATTGTTTTTGAATGCAAACGATTTGAAATAATTTTTATTTATGCTGTTGGGTTCAATTATTTTTAACAATCTTTGTTTTGATATCCTCACGTGTCACCATTTAACGCTGTCTGAAAAAGAATAAGCTTGTCAATATTTTGTCTGTCTTAATCAAGGATTTATGAATTGAATAAAGTTCCTATTGATTTTCCCTATTTGTCAGTGTAATTGAAAACTAGTGAATTTTTTTGCGGACGAACAGAGAAAAAGAAAGCTAAACATATCCATGGACGGACAAGATTAAAAGATATACCCTCTACTCCTCAATTACAGGAATATAAATACATTAATAAGGAGAAAGAAATCTTGGATGCAGTGCTTTTTTTCAATAAGAGTTGAAATGTCAAGGATAATTTTATTATCAATTGGAAAGTAATGAGCACACCAAAAAGAACATCTTAAATCTTTGTAGAAACTATGCATTATTATATATTAATTTGTGGCACGTCATATTTTCTTAGTGCATCGTTTGTGATAATTTAGAGTATCATTAAATTTGTTTATTACCTCATAATAGAAATGAAGAAGAGATAAAAATGACTTTTCTAAGGAGCAAAGAGAGCACGTGCATTAACAAATATCATTAACATGGCAGTTATGTTCCAAGAGAATTTTATGAGGCATCCATAAATAAGCTGTAATTTAAACAGAAAAACTGAAAAAAAGATGATTTGAAAGAAGCAGGACCAACGATATTTATTTAATGAGCGACTAAAACAAAACATGGGTTGACTGTAAATTTTCATTGCTTCAGAAATTTCTTTCATATTTGATATGTATTGAATATTTTTCCTTTTTCAAAATTAATTTATTTCTTTCAAGTGGGAGCTTTTTATGAAATTAGAATAAGTTTGTTGTGAAGCTTGATTAGTTACTCAATATCCACACGCAAGCACAGACACACATGCTTGTCCCAGTATAAGAAACTCAAGTCGAAATAATATAATTATAAGGAAACATTTAAAAATTTATACACAGCTCAACATACTTTCTAAGCTCACATAATTTTTGCACAAATTAAGGTCACAATCTTTTTGCGATAGGAATGAACATTGCTGACCTATAATACGAAGCAAAGCCCTAATATGTATTTAATATATCATGTTCAAGGTACAAATTCATTTTCAAATTGTCATTTTAAAGATGTTTTTTTTTTTTAGAAGTACTTTGCATATTTTCATCCTCGTCGTGGTTTTGTCGAAATGTAGCGCCGAAAAATGACGCTGTTGCATAAGGAAATCATACCAAAAGACAGGATAAAAAGTATTGTTCATCTTTTAAAATAGTAAGGTGTTTCCATTGAAAAAATAATTCTTTTACATTAACGGTCTAAAACTTTAAGAATTTTGCGGTCGGATCTATATGTCATGATGCAAGATTTAGAAAGTAATCCTAAAGCTGCCCGCTTTTTAACATGAAAAGCAGTCGAACAAATGAGCAATACTATTATTATCTTGCGCTATCTTAACTCATGTTATTTAACAGAAATACAAAAGTTACATGAATTGCACTGTTTTTGAGTCAATGCAAGGCAAAGAACTGCTTTAAAAAGAATGGGTACATAGACGGCTACATTTGACATGAAACCACAAAAAACCATTTGGGAACTGTCACAATCCATCAGCCAAGTATATATCAAAATCCTACCAAAAACTATGTGAAAATTATGTTTAAAGTTAGTTAAATAAACTTACAAGTAAATAAGAAATCTCTTTTAAAATATTATTTGTTGCCTCATCACAGGATTTTGTGTAATAACAATGCGATCTTAACTTGTGCAAAAAACCATGTGAGCCTAGAAAGTGCGTTCAGTTTATATATAACCTGAAGTATGATCCTTATCAAGTCGTTTATGATTTTCCTGCAATGCAAGCGTATCCAAACCTGCACAGTTGAAATGTACATTTGACTTAAGAATGAATAACAGATTTAGACCACATCGATGTGTCGTCTTTTACAATTCAAACACTGTACATGTATATTTTAGAAAGTAGCTGATGAATGTAGGTTTCTAACATAGGCGTCGGAAGCAAATTGAATGTCAGGGAGGAGGGCTAATTGAAGGGGGTTGGGGGGCTGAACCAACAGAAAAGGTGAATCCCACTTTTCAATGCCTATATTATGTACATGTATATATTTGCAAAAAAGTGTGTGCTAAGCAGAGCTGTTTCACGGACCTCCCCACGTCATATTTAAACTCCATCATTTTAGTGTTAAAGTGATAAAATAGGAAACTGATTTTGTTGTTGTATATTCCAAAATATTAATCTATATCAGCTTAAAACAAATTTATAATTCATAAAAAGCTAATTTTAATGCGATGAAAGCGCAAATCGTCTGTATTCTATTCACAGGTAAATAAACAAATTTACACTCTGGTGGTAATTGTAACAGCGTTATCACAGCATGGAGATCTAATTCGTTTCTCTATAAGGAAACAATCAGTCGTATTTTAGAGCTGCTTTTTAATATAGAAATAAAATCCTCGTTGTCGTGAATGACAAAGACTAACCTCCTCGGTCTCGAAATGTTGTTTGAAATCGGTTTTTATCTTTTAAACGACATTTCTCGATCTCGGAGGTTATTCTGCAACATTAACGAAAACGTGGACTTTATTTTTTAATTTTTTTTTTTTTTGAAAAATGCAGTTCCATTAGTTCTCGCATCGCTTTCCCACACTTCATGAACAATGAGAATGGAAGTGATCAACACCTGTTAAGGCATTGAGTTTATTAGAGTCGTTACAAATACACTTTGTAATGATTTTAACAATATTTCCAAAACACGGTTTACGAAATGTTTTGTTTGAAAGCAATTACTGTTTTGGATTTCTCTTCCCTATAAGTGTCTTAGTGATAAATTTATCTTTCATTTATTTAATTTTTGGAAATCACAATAAAATATCAAAAAACATGCATTTAGTTACCTTACCGTTACACAATTCAATATTCAAAATCAGTTTAGCTATAGAATAAGGGAAAAGAAAGTCGAGAGCTGAGTTGGAAGTTGTGAATATTTAAAAAGTCAAATATTTTAAATAAGGAAAAACATGAGATAAAACAAATTAAAATAGAATATTAGATCAGTGTCTTTGTTTTCTGACGTCGATAAGTTGTCCCGTAACACCCACAGTCATCAAAGGTGTCTTCAAATCAGTTCAAGAATAAAGGGTGAAAGGGCACAAAACTTGCATGGAAAGTATTTAGAAAATAAAAAATACTCAATTTTTAAAAGCTGAATAATTTCAACTAAATGGTATAAAGCTCTTTTATTTCACATGAAAATACCTGTGATAGAATTATATGGTTGTTCTACATTACACTGTGCCTTTTACTGAAAAATTGCCCTTTAAAGCATCCACATTTGAAGCTTAGATAATAATAATCCTAAAGACATTTACCTTCGACACTATATATGTAATGCAACATGGGGTTATATATGTCATTGTACTAAGATTCGATTACTAGTATGTTAATTTTTAGTACAAGAATATTTCTCATTCTGATTCGACTTAGAAGTATTCTGAGATTAATAATAAAGAAGATGTTTAAGTTTCTAATTCACTTTGTTTTGTTTTAAATTTGAACCCAATTTTAGCAGACTTATCTGTGATTTTATATGAAACATTTTTTTTTTCTGATCATAAACATGATAAGAATTTTAACATTACTGTAGACGTATAGTATATTCGGCTGTGTATTTTTTAATGCTATATGTCTTGAACATATGTACATAAACAGGGATATAAGGAAATGCGCTATATCAAATCTACACGAACTTGTTCAAAAGCCAATTTCCGCCAAATATCGTAAACGCTAATATAATACATTATTTTACATTATGCTGGGACCTTCAAATCGACATTTAGAATAATGTTTTGAAAAGCTATCAAACATTCTTAAAGGGGCATAAATTAATACAGTTTCAGCTAAAAATTCAAAATTTACTTTTTCATTTTTACAAATATTTAAAAGAGGTCCTTCTAATGATCATCATAAAATTTGAACGCCAGTTGTCGAGAGACAAGACAGATTTAGAGCTCCAAACCTTTGTTATATAATCAAGGTCTGTGTCATGTTTTTGTTTACACAGGTTAATATACCAATATATGTTCGTTCAAAGTACATAATATCAAATAAAAGTTAATTTTATATACGATTCGACAGTTACTATTTATTTGCTGAATTTAATTTTGTTATAAATAACACATTTACTATAGGTAAACAAAAACAAGGCAAGAGCCTTGTTTACATTATGAAGAACTTTAAGTTCTGTATTTGTTTGTTAATCAACAAATGATATCAAACTGTTTGCTAATCAATGGATGATGCCTTAGGTAGGAATTGTAAACATTAAAATTGGTTTTAAAAAATGTATATCCATGCCCCTTAAATAGTTACATGTACTACCACTCATATATCGACTCAATATTGGTTCCCACTTAACTTGAAAGTCAAGTGTACCACATGGTCTTGCTCATATGTTCTATAATCGGATATTGTACTAAAATTAAGACATTAGTGGTTATCTAATAACAGAACATTATGAAAAATAAGATGAACCATCTTTATTTGTGTAACAATGAACACGTATATATTACCTGGAAATTGGGCTTAAATCTCCTAGTTGATGTGACATGGAAGAGCATGATTTACGATCGAACAGTTTCTAAAAAGTGCAGGCTATTGAAAAACAAGTTGATAAAACAAGACTATCAGCATTCACGTGTCAAGTTATAGTTTTGCAAGATTGATAATTGGTATTAATGCCCCTGTCAACAAATACAATATTCAAGTCTATTGCTGACTGATGTTTTTTTTTCGAATCAATTTGTAGACAACTATTAACACAAAGAATTGTCTTTCATGACAAGAAACAGATGACGCAGCTGTGACCGGTCCACGGGGTGTCCTCATGACACCATATCCAACCTCTGAAGATCAATATTTGATCTGCTTCAAATTTTGTTGGTTTTTTACGGACTTTATATCTAAGTACTTTTCGTATTTTCATACCTCAAGAGTTCAATGAGCACATTCTTGAAATACATGTTTAATATTCATTTATGAAATAGAATTCATTGATATTATAAAATATACAAAATATAATATAAACATATAGAATAAACATAAACATATAGAATAAAATAATGAAGAATGAAATATATAAAATAAGAAGATACTTATTTAAAAAAAAAAAATTGAACATCAACATTAAGTTTGAATTTATTAACACGGGAGTAACATAAATGTAAATATGCAATTATGTTATAAAAATATATTTTGTACTCAGGATGATATTAATGATTTCTGCTTAAAAAAAAAATAAACAACGCATACCTCGCCCCACTGTAATAACAATATTTTTAGTTAAACTATCCAATTATGATTACCGATAATCAATTTTTCTTATCAAAACCAAATTTTAAGTGGAGTTTGTGTCCCTTAGGCCAGAGGTGATCCGTCCTGGATTGCACTTTTCGACGAGGCATCGAAAAATTGATAATCTCTTTATATATTGCTTTGTCACAGAGGGGTTTGGTTTGCGTATATTTATTTGGCAATATTTCTTTGTCCAATTCATTAAGTAAATCATCCGCCATTTTTAAATCGTTGTCTGTTGTGCATGGCGACGAAGGTTTTTGGCAGCAATTTCTACGACGTGATACAGTGGCGGCATGTTTCTCTATTTCTTCCAGTTCTCTGATAATGTCTTCAATTTCCTTTTCTGTCTGTGTCTGTGCATTTTTCCATTTTGGCCCTGCTTCCTAAAAAAAATAAGTGATTTCTTGAAAAGCAATCATTGATTGCACGTGTATTTTTTTCTTTCTTGATATTTACTCAAATATATAAAAAGCGTAAAATTATAGGAAATGCACAATGGCACAAGGACATAAAGATTGTGGTATTGTACCATTAAATTTTACAAAGTGATACAGTGGGATTTGCGGAAAAAAGATGAGTACGATTTAATACTAAAGACAAGAGGTCCATGGGCTGAGTACAAATCAGTTCAGTATGAAAAAGTTATCGATGTGGTTGAATTGGGATGCCTCCATATCACTAAAGCATTTAATTTTCCTGTTTTTGAGAAAAAAAGATTTTCTTCCTATATATTACTTCGTTAAAATCTTATCCCCAATTGAGGCTCATCCGCACATGTACCTGAAGAGGTCCGCAGTACAGTTAAGTTGACAAATGGAAATATCTGCAATCTTTTAAAATAAAAAAAAATAATACTTATTTCATAATGATGGGCGATTTCTGTTAGGACTTCAAAAATTACTGATATCTAAAAAATTGTAATGCGGATCAAATCTAGATGTTGAGGGAACACAATAACAATATATATGATAAAGATTTAATGTGTACCAGCCGATAATAAATAAAGAATGGCACTGTTTTTGTTGTTTTTTTTATTTATTTGCAAAACCCTGAATATTTCATTGACCAAAACTTATTTGCACAAGTACAGCAACACAATGTAATTGTCTCTTTATTTTCCAAGTTTAGAGAAGTCTACTTTCAATATAACATGAAGAATTGGTGAGGCATTTTTGCCGAGGGAAAATCAAAATACCCGTCTTATAAAATCGCAAAAAAGAGGTCACAATAATTTAATGAATATGATGTAAAACTGTATTTTATTTTAGTCAATGTTAAACATGTACATGTAGGAGGAGTTGCAAAAATGGAGATGCGACTCTAATATTTAGCACATAGGAAAAAAAACTGACGTGCATGCGGACAAATAGACGGTTGAACAAACTTCATGACCATTTCATTCTGCTTGCAAAGAGAGTGATAAATTAACAAACGGTGATAAATTATCTTTTCTATGATTATAGCTTTCCCGAATATATAATTAAAATCGTAATATATACAGGTATGTGACCATGAAAAATTAAGAAATGAATTGTACCATCAAGACTTAGATGATGAAGATGTAAATATTCAAATTATATATGTATTGGTTCGAATGTCTAACATATATTGGCAATATTGATTGATAAAAACTACTAAAAAGCAAACATCAATGATTTGTTTTTAACATCCAAAACAGGTACAGGAAGAGGATGCTGGTAAATCTTAAAACAGCTCAAGAGAAAAAAATAATGAAAACAGAGATAAGCAAAAATCAACCTCGGATGATCAATTAATTACAGATTACAATATAAAATAAAAATAATAAATTGAACATTGTCCTGTGTGGCTTACTTTGATTTCGTTGTTTCGTGTTTGTCCTTTCTTCCTGATGACCCTTAAAATTTCTTTTGCCGGATCTTGTGATTTTCTACTGTAGTCTCTATGTTTTGTAACTCCCTTTTGACTGATGGTGCGAAGAAGGGTATGGGCATTATAAAATGGATTCTACAAATAAAAGAAAAAATTTGAAATAGATTAATATATTTTACCAAGACTTCAGATCTACAATTTTTCTTTCAAACATAACCAATACATTCAAATTAAGTTTGAACACTGTTTTGAACATTAAGAACTTTTATCAGACCTGTCTCACTTTCCAAGAATATACTGTATGGTTTCTTTAAATTCAGAACTATATTTCTGAATATCAAACAATTTGAAGGCAGAAACTTAATGCAAAATAATGCAACACATTTTATTTTACCTTATCTGACAATTTTATTCAGGTTTTATATTTTAAAGACTTTAATATTCGTTTTTTTTTATTGCAGAAGTTGTGAAATTCTATTAGTTGTATCAGTAGCTCTTACCTCATTATGTTGATATGAAGTGGAAGAAAAATTAGAAGTCCCAGACAGAGCTGCTAATTCCTCTAAAGTGAATCTCTTTCTAACTGGTTTGTAAGTGTCACTCCTAAATAATGATGACCTCAGTGAAACATCAGATGAACTTCCAAGGGCGCTCATTTTTATTAGTCCAATATCATCAGATTTGTCTAAATAATTACAAAAATGTGTCTGTCTAGTACTCGGTCCGTATAACGTTAAAACCAAAATAATCGATAATGAAAACAATAAGGTAAAGAATTGGAGCAAGAAATAATTCACAACTAAATATTACTACATTCAATTGATTTGCTAGTAACATTTAATTGATAACTCCATGTATAACACAATTATTGTTTTGTTCCATGATTTTATTTGAATAATATTCCAATTCATCTATGCTTATCTTGTTTTAAAATCCTTTCTTTCTTTTTATATAGCTTAATAGCAAATACAGATCAAGGATTCAATTAGTATAAAATGAATTAAGCAATTTTAAATGAAGTTTTTTCATTTTTCTTTTTTAATAGAAACATAATGGTATGATAATTAATGACTGATAGCCCAGACAAACCACTCACACATGATCCTATAAACCTTTTGGAAAAAAAAAATCTACAGTATGCTACCATAAATGATTCAACTTTCTTAATGGCGTGCAAATACAAGCAGTAAAACGTCAAAAAAGTTGTGGTGTGAAAAGATAAACGATATCGTATTGATTTTCTTTCATAATCAAAGGGAAGTTACGCTTAATTTCCCGATTTTCTTTATCAAAGTTGATTTTACTATTTCTCTACGTTATTGTTTAAACAATGGACAAATAGGCCTATGAAATGTCAGACAACACTGAAAAAGGTACATTTATCAGACATTGGACAAAGGACATTAGAAATTTAAAATTGTTTAAAGATAAATTATTATGCAATCTCAAATGGTTTAAAGCGGTGGGGGAATGTGAAAAACAGTATTACAGTATTACAGTGGAAGGACCCTTCACTTATGAAAGCGATATTCTATTGGAATTTGGAAAGTTAAGAAAAAAAAACCACATACCTCTGTGCAAAGGAAAGTTACATTGGAATATAAATGACCAATGGAAGAAGGTGATGAAATGTTGCTAATTATCAAACGTTCATAAATGGAAATAGGCATTCTCAGAAATATTTCGAAATACTTGATGACAATATTTGAAAGGTGTTTGTAAACATTTTAGTAAAACATGTAGCATATGGTACTTTCAAGACGACAATGCCCCATGTCGTTGGGCACAGATTTAAAATATATTTTTTTTTTTCAAATTTGTGGTGTAATATCATGACATACATCAATATGGTTTTCCGGACGGGAATATTAAAGAAAAAAATAAGTTAACTTATTTTATATGGAAATTATTGACATTACGCATTTTGGTACGATTTAGATTACATATATTTGCACTCTTACAAAGCAATACTTTAGAAAGAAAAATATTTAAAATAAAATCTTAAAATCAAAAGTTCGAGTAAAAATGTTTGAAAGCAAAACTAACTCATTAGTTTTGTTTGTCCGTGCTTAGTGAGGTGTGAAGAGTTTGACAAATTGTATAAACACGGTGAAACGTAATTATTGACAGTAAAAGATATCGTACCCTGTTTACAAACACAATTGGTGTCCAGGCAAAAAGGAAGAGTAACTTTTTTTTACAGAAATCAGCAAGGTTTCTCATTGGATAAATCCTCAAATAAGTAACGTGAATGAATAAGAAGGACTATTTCGCAAGATGTATCCACAATGTCAAATGTACACAATTTTGTATAGAATCAGAGTCGCTCATCTAAGCAGTAATAAAACTTATTATTTCTACATGATTTTCAACAAATACAATTTATCATTGGAACAAATGCTGATCGACGTTTTCCATACTTATTGATAGTCCATTATTTACACATTGAATTGGCGACGAATTTTTCCGTTATTTCCCGATCTTGACAAGGAGCACACGGCGGGTGTGACCTGTACCAAGGGAATGC